TAATATTTGAAATAAATTAACAAAAAATTGAAATAAATTAATATAAATTTTTTTTTTTTTTAAACTTACCGATTATTTTGGGAATCGGCAGCTACGGGGTGTTCGGTGGCGGTGGCGAGTGAGGCAATCCGGCGAAGGAAGGGCGGCGGCGAGTGTGGCTGAGGCTGAGGCGGTGGTTGTCGGCTGTCGTCGTCGGCGAAGGAAGAGCGGCGGCGGGAATGACGGTCGGTTCTGGTCTCGGAAATGAGAGGGCGAGAGGAAGGTCGGCTGTCGGCTGAGGATGGGCGGCGGAATGGCTGTCGTCGTCGACGAAGAAGGCGGACAGCGGAGTGTATTTCGCGAAGAAGGATTACTGTGCGCTGTCGTCTCCAAGTCTGAGGCGAATTGAAATGGCGAAAAATGCTGAGGCGGGTAGGGTATTAATTTTATTTTCTAATAAAATAATAATAAATTCTCCACGTCACCCTCTCCATGCGGGTGCCGCGGAAAGTTTATTAAATATTTTAATATTTAATTTTCCCGACACCCTCGGTAAGAGGGTGCCGCGGAAAGATTTTTATTTCTTATTTTTTATTTCGAAATTACTTTCCACTACACCTTTATTTTAAAGGTGTAGTAGATTTTTATTTGTTTTAACTTTTCACTACACCTTCATTAAGGGGTGTAGTGTAAAGTTGTACTTATATACTCATTTTCGTACTAGTGGGACAATATCAAATGTGTATACAATTGTTACTATTCCAAGATGATATGCAGTGGGAAATCACTATTTTAGTTGTACGATTCAATTTGATGAAACAACGAAATAGTGAAAGGATGGAGACACTAATATGCTCAGCAGTGAATCAGTGATATGAAGGAAGAGGAAACATCATGGAGATAACAAAGGTACCATCTGTTCTTATCCTCTCAATGTTTGTTCTTAAAAAATATTGAATGCAGCAATAGAATGTGATATACCTAGGTTGGAGAAAATGTATAACATCAGATTTTAAAGGACAAAGAAAAAAGAACTGATTTCAATGTTAAAAGAGTACACAAAATTTATTAATTCAGTTTAAGTGTACAGTGGGGGATAAAACTGATAATCAGAAAGTGCACTGAATAAGCACACTTTTGAATTTTTGATATTTTGATATTGAATGACATATCTGAAAAAGTAGAGCTTTGTATAATTTTAGTCTACTATAATAAAGCAACAGATTTTTGGAATTAAAATTGATAAAATTCTTCGTGCTCAATGAAATTGAAGTCATTTAGTTCTGTAATAACAGTAGGAGTAATTTGCTGCCAATCAGTTCCAAAATTATATGTACACTTTGACAGATATATCAAACAACTAACAACACAGAGACATGATATTAACTGGATGTGCAAATACATACATGTGCTTATATATTGTTTTCACCAATGTGCTTCCATTAATATCAACTAGTAGTTGCACCCGTGCGATGCACGGCCATATGTATAGTATATGGAATATACATTTATAATATAATCAGATGAAAAAATATATAGTTTGAAAACCTAATAAATTTGAATGATAATTTTTTTAATTTTATTACATATAATTGAAGACTTCTTTGTATACAACATTTTTAGTTGTACTTAGACATGTTATATTTTCGCCACATATCAAAATTTTTAAACCCATTGGGTTACTAACCCTTGAAACAACTACATACATTTGGCCATGGTTAAAGACATGCAGGTCATTTAAAAAACAATCCTACTTTTGAGAGTGTTTGTCATTGGCTTTTGTTTATTGTCATGGCATAAGATAACATATAAGGAAATTGTTTCATTTGGAATTTGAAAGGCAATCTTGGATATGACGGTGTTAGTGACATTATGGGAATTAAGACCTTTGTTCTTGCAAATATTTTTCTATATTAACATCAAATGCAATCTTTTATATATATATATATATATATATATATATATATATATATATATATATATATATATATATATATATATATATATATCTTAATAAAAGCTGTAAGAAATTTATCCCAAAAATGAGATTCACAATTGTTGTTGAAGCTTGAATTGTGCATCTTCATACAGATGGTTTCACACAACTTACCAAAGAACTTATGATTTTGCAATTGAGTTTGACATTAACAACGTTACACACAATCTCCTCAAATTACATCCTGTCACATATTGACTTACATATTCTATTGCATCAACATATTCTCTGTCATCATCAACTAACACTCTAACGCAACACGCATCTCTACAAATATTGTAATGTACACCATCAATTATTTTGAAATTAGTATAACTTGTAGGATCGCGAATTTGATTATAAATAAGACAGAATAAGATAATAATATATCATAAATTGTTAATTATAATAATGAAAACAATTGAAACTTGCAACTATTACAAATTAATGAATAAGTATTTAGTAATATTTTTTTTTTAAATTATTGAAAACTTTCCTATAAATAATATTTGTAGTCGTACTTATTGATTCTCCATTTGCCCCCGATGCATGACATTAAATTTATGTAACATTTTGTTGATAATGTTTTTAAAAAAATGATAAAATCAAACTTTAATCATGAAAATTCATTTTGAGATGCATTTTTCTAGAGCAATACGAAATTGGTTGTTATATTGAATATCACAACATACTATTAGCATATACTATAAAGAATTGTGCTATTAAATACCACATGAGATTTGAAAATTTCACATTTAAATAATTTCTCTCTCTCTCTCTCTCTCTCTATATATATATATATATATATATATATATATATATATATATATATATATATATATATATATATATATATATATATATATATATATATATATATATATATATATATATATATATATATATATATATATATATATATATATAGATAGAGAGAGAGAGAGAGAGAGAGGGGGGGAAGGGGTCAGGTGCGGGAAATACTTTCCGTGCGGTTGTGCAAAGAAACACACCTTAAGCATTAAACTGGCACACTTTAAATACACAACACGCGCACATTAAACACAAAAATAAAACACCTTAATAACACAAATGTCACACACCTTAAGCACAAACTCACGCACCTTAAGCACAAAACTCATGCACCTTAAGTTTCAACAACTACTCACATTAAGCACAAAACTCACGCACCTTAAGCACAAAACTCATGCGATGCACGGCCATATATAGAATATATAGAATATACAGTATCATATAAAAAAAACTGGTGAAAACTTGTAAAAAATACGAAAACACAGCACATAAAATTTTATTACACATTATTGAATACTTCTTTGTATACGACATTAGTAGTTGAGATTGTACATTTTCGTCACAAATAAGTATTTTTAATCCCTTAGGATTACTAATTCTTGAGACTAAAATATAGTATAGATAGTTAAAAGTATACAACATACAAAAAAAAAAAAAACTTAGATTAGTATTGTCAAATTTGTTTTTTCTCAAATGCAATAATTGTAAATTTAAACTATGATATACTTAATAATAAAATATGTATTCACCCGTGCGATGCACGGACTAAATATTTAAAATATTAAAATCATGTTATGTTATTAAAAATATTAATGTTATTAAATTTCATATATAAAAAACAAATATGAGATTTATTATTTTATAAATTGTTGTAATTAAATTAAAAATTGATATTTAAGCTAGGTAATTACTAAAAAGTGTTAATATCATATCTGGCCATTCGAGGTCATTTGTGATCATCCGAATATAGTAATTTTGCTACGTTTAGTTATAAACTTTCAAATTGACGATCCGTGGTCTTTCGACTTTCAAATTGTATTGTTCTAAACTTTCAAATTGACGACCCGTGTTCTTTCCCTTTTTTCATGAGAACAAAAACTGTTAACTCTTTTATATTTAAAAATATAACGATATAATTTGAAAAAATTGAACCTTTAATTTTTGGAATGTTCCTTTTAATTTTCGTATTAAATCTCTTAAACATACAAAATTTTAACCTTTTATTTTTAAACCTATTAACTCTGTTATATTTAAGAATATTAGTAATTTTACCATTAAATATGTATATTTCACAATGAAAAAGATAAAAATTTAATATTTTTCTTTTCGGTCAGTAAACAATGTAAGTTCAAAAATATTTTTTACCCTTTTATTTAGAAGAATCATAGTTAAATATAATTATATGATTTAATATAAAGTGATTTCAATATATTCGGAAACTATTTCAATTTTAATTTCTCAATATAAATAAAATTAATTTTTTACAACCACTGAAAGCAGTTTTCTCAATTTATCATTATTCAAATATTAATTAAGTAATGACTATTATTCACTATGGTCACATTTTCTAATTTTATAAAGAAGACCCAATAATTGGCAAAAATACAATTAAAATTCTATACATAAATACACAAACATAAATTTGTAAGAAAAAAATGTTTAATTGGCCCAAAGCAATATAGGTCGGTTTACAATATACAATCTAATCCAATTTGAAATTTATTTGCGTATTATATAGAAGTCCAACTACTTTAATAAATCAAGCCCAACCCACAACATAACCCTAACACTACATATAAAAAGCACTAAATGTTACATTTGACATTCTTCATTCAGATACTTGAGACCGTTTGTCATTCCCTTCTCTCTTCCGTTACAACTCAAGATTGTCTTCTTCAACAACTATCCATTACAAAACTTTCTTCACTAAACCGTCTCGTAGACTTACTTTATAATAATCTTCTTTAAATATTTCATTATCTAAAAATAAATAATTAAATAAATATTATACATCCAAAGTATACTATATAAATATTGTTCATGACATAATTACTAAATACATTACTAATTTATACAGAATAAAAAAAAGAATACTTACAAATTCAATTAAATGTGTACCATATACATTAGACATATATGTATACATACTACACTCTATGTATATCATCTATCATATATATATATATATATATATATATATATATATATATATATATAATCAGAACTATCTAGAAGGGCAGATGCCAGATGTCTGCTTTCCTTCGCTCATCCGTGTACTATCTCTCGCTGCCTCTCGATTATCTCTCGCCTTTGTCTAGTCTATCTCTCTCTCTATACATCGAGAAACTCTATCTATACTGCTAGTGAAGTACTTATCTGGAAAGCATACATATGTATACACAGAGTTCGGAAGAGCAATTCGAGGTACGTTTTTTTTTATCTCCATTTTCAGTTGCAGATTAGCTTCATTCCCAGTAATTTATGAAATTGACTCAAAGAAATTTTTGATTCCATCACAAAATAACAAATCTAGGTTTTAGGGTTTGCGTATCACCTATCAATTTCGTTATATTAGACAGATCTATAATTATTACCTAGGGTTATAATAAAAATATCATTCAATCTATTATGAATTTCGAATTTCAGATTCTCCAAAAGAGACTTATTACGGTTTGTTTTTTCAGATGGGTGATCTATTCAACTATGCTTCAAAAAAGATAAGTTTCTTTCTAGCATCAGACGACTAATCTGTGGTGGTTTTCATATGTTGCGTCTGTGAACTCTACTTCTTTTAGTATTGTAAATTTTTTTTATGAAAATTAAGAATTAACATACCTGTGTTGTATTCTTCACACTTGCGTTTAGTATTCTTCACACTTGCGTTTAGTTCTTGTGTGAATTTTTTTTTTTTTTTTTTTTTTTTTTTGCTTTTACATTCTTTTTACACTATTGATGTTGAATGTTGACACAATTCTGTTTTGTAACTCTACAGCATGTACCATGGCATTGTGTCAGAATAGTATATTGATAGAAAAATGTGTAATGACTTGTAAGGTTAATTTGCATATACTACCATGCTATAGCTCAAATTTTTTAACAAATGTTGAAGTCCTTATACCCCTATTTTGCTTTGACTTTAATTTGCAGTCCTTGGTTAGAATTCAAAATATTCTTGTATGTATTTTCCAAAACAGTCCTATATTTTATGTTCTGGTCAAGTCTTAGAAAGTACAATAATCTTAGCAATTGAACTTTTAGCTGATATTGAGTTAATCTAAGTTTTCCTTTTTTTTTTTTTCTTTATGTTGTATGTCAATGTTGTGTGCATTTTTATTTGCATATTACATGTTGTAAAAATTGTTTTAAAAACTGTCACAGATACAATATGCACTTGGCAGTGCATATCGTAAGAAACTGTATCCAAAAAACAACACAAAGATACATAGAGTAGTGCATATAGATATATAAATTACAGAAACAATTTTGTAATAAATTCAAATAGAAGAAAATTAGAAAATTAAATTAGGCTTGTAGGCTTGTAGAAGGTTTTGATATATGAAATGTCTTCTTTAATAAAACTAAGCCTAAATAGAATATAATTTGAGTATAAATCATAACCACAGTAGGTCCAAACTATGAGTGACTAATGGCAAGAAGCATGAATACTCTATACACCTGCTTCCTGTAGAATGTTATACACTGCATAGTTCTTTGCTACATAAGACTATACACAATGTTGTCCCCAACCATTGTATTTAATTATTAAATACATGTACAACATATATTCTTTGCTTCTTAATTTATTTTTTTTCACTGATTGCTTACCTCAACTTTCTATGCCTGCAAATCCTTAGGAATGTCTTCCGATGCTTCACAGTTCTTTTCATCACATTCAGATATCTATTGCATAGCCATCCCTCTGCAATTCTCCCAACTCAAATGGAGGATACTCATTTCCATGTAAAAAAAGAACTTAGTAAAAGTAGAAATATTGAAACCATTAAAGAAACAAAAGAACATAGTAAAAAGAAAATTAACTTGACATACTTGACCTTTAATTCAGATGCTAAAACACCAAGGTCTTTTAGGAATGTTTGCATGAACATACGTGCACTATAAAGAAATAAAGAATTATTTTCTAAACACAGTTAATTATTTGCAGGTATAGTATAATAAAAATTACCTCCATCTCGTGGAAGACACATTCTTGAATCTTTATCAAATCTGTGTTTAGATCTTCAGGTACAATATATGTTCGTACCAATCTTCTGCACCTTTTTGCAGCAACTGAGATGTGAAGAATAATCTTGGCACATACATTCATCAAGCTCACAAGTCAGGAGGATTGGCTACATTTAGTCATTTTGAATCCTGCTTAACTTAGCAATTAAGCACTTAAGTCATTCCATCCTTAGATTTTAATACTTTACTTACACATACAGCGTGATTTTAATCTTTTTCAAAAGAAAGTTGAAGGATGATATAGAGCTTTACCAAATGTGCAGGTGTTCTATATTGGATGCTTAATCTTCAAGAAAATGTCTTCTTCCTCATCGTGAATGCTTTCCCAGCATGCTATATGCATCTCCACCATTTTCGTCCACTCTCCATCTTCATGAAAATGTTGTCTGAATTGTGAGGACTTATTTATAGTGTAAACTCTTGTGTATTTAATGTTAGTATTGAGGATTGCAAAAGTTGTTTAAGTTGCTTTCACATATTCTGATATGCAACCTTTAAAATTATTGCAGGTGGAGGAACAGGGAGGTCAACAACACTGTAAGTTTAATTTATACATGCATAGTCTACATTTTTTTTGCTTTTTGTGTGACATTTAAACCAAAATCAGATCCAAGCACATGGAAAAATCGAAAAAATTTCCAAATTCTTTTTCAACTTATACACTTTATTTTATACAAATACTCTATTTTTTGGACATTCTAAACTCATAAATCCTTCAAAAAATAATTCATCTATAGCTTCTTCATGACCTGCAATTATCCAATACATCTTTTTGTAAAATATAAAAATGAAATGAGCAGAAAAAATAGTTGCATCAATGCTCTCAGTATTTGACTTTAGATCATATACTATTCAACTTTTTTAATTTGTATTTTTTTACACTTTAAATTCATGGATGGGTTTTGGATTGAAATGCTGATTTGTTGGCTGCCTTGTTCATACTTTTTTTTTTTTTACAATCACAGAGATTTGAAGGCAGACCCAAAATCATTAAATCACACAGCATGGATATTACCTGGAACACCAGAAATCACACAGCAGACCAATTAGTAAGCAATGAAATATCCTCATCATTAAGCACCATGGCTTTTGTAAGTGTATACCTTTCCCATCTCCTTGTGCGTCTGCTACATCATCTCCTCAGTATCCTCCTCCACAGAAACGAATAGTCTAATACAAAAAATTAGATAAATAAATAGAAACCAAACATGAATATATAGTAGTAATTAAACAAAAAAAAAACACTGAATAATTAGTAGATAATATAGGTGAGAAGAAATAGAAACCAAACATGAATATATAGTAGTAATTAAACAAAAAAAAAAAAAAACACTGAATAATTAGTAGATAATATAGGTGAGAATAGAAATGTTTCCAGAAAAATGTGCTTTAGCAATACTGAGATCGCAGGTGTTCTCACCGTAATCTTCAAGCACCTGTGTTTTATCAATACTGAGATGACATAGTATCTTTGCCCAGATTTTTGGTTCTTTGTTTGCATACTTGCAGGTAGTTCAAACTGGAGAGATGGTGAACTTGTGAGTGATTATTGATATCAAGCTTTATATAGAGACCGAAATTTGTTTTTCAATTTTGAATATTGTCTTGGAACTATGAAGGCTGCTGGAAACGTTTCAAGACCCAAGATTACATTCAATAGATAATGTTTTCGAAGCATTTTCTCGTATAGAGATGTGTAACAGTCGTATGTGTATATCTGTCTCTTTATATATGTAAATAAATGTAGATTATAGGTTAGCTTCTCAATGTAGAACTCTTTGACTATTAGAAGTCTATTAATTTACATCGGTAATAGACAATATTAGGCCACAATTAATTCGGCTGTTGAGTTTTCATCTTAAAACGACGCAGTATCCAATGGGCGGGAAACAATGATTGCATAAAAATGCACAACGGCGTTTTATCCAATGGGCGGGAAAAAAATGATTGGCAAAATTTTTTTGCTTTATTATAGAGTTAGATTAGATAATGATTTTCACAGTTTTTTTAATTGAAGCATATTATGTGAAATGAATCTTTAAACAATTTTAATTTTATATATCTAGGAAATTGTATAGTACATATCACATAGACTTTTAGTCTTCCAAGACTATTTGTCAAGACAATTTTGATTGAGGAGGTTTAAATATTGAAACACATGATTCACAAGAGCTGTCATAAAAAATGTATACACTTCTATTATAAACTCCTATCTGTGCCAGCATATGGATCAGCAAACATAAAGTTCTAAATCCATAAAGTAATTAACATCTTCTACCCTTATTGTTAACAAGGGGAATGAAAGATCAGGTGACAGGTATGTTTGGTATGCACCTTATTTTTCTGAAATACATAACATCTCGAAATTTAACATTTTTTTTCAACTGGATTTCTGGATCTAACTTTGACATTTTTTTATCTGTAAAAAATGTTTACCCCATCTGGCAATTAAATATTATCAACTATTAATGGGTATCCTCCTAAAAAAGCAGATTGACAAAGAGGTGGGAGTACAAATCTATTTGGTGTAATACAGTTTTGAAAACTGACATACATATATGCATGAGTGATTTAGCAGGAAATTTCACATATATATGTCCAAGGCAATGGCTGTATAAAATTATACAAAAACCCCTAACTAATATGTAGTTTAAGACTAAAATACGAAGCAGAGTAACCTGCGATGTGAAGGCGATGGCGTGGTTATACACTTTACCGTCTGCAGGTGACCAATAAGTCGCCGTTGCCGAAAACCCAGTGACATAAACACTAATACACTAAACGAATCACAAAATCAAGCTCCCATCGGGTCAAAATCACTCGAACAACGGATGTTTTGTTACAAGTTGTATTGACTAAGATAGAAGGATTTTGAATGTAATTACAGATCAAAGCCCAACTAGCGCGAGGGAGTAAATATATCAAGGTCTTAAGTTGAACTACCGGAAAAAAATGGCGGATGCTACTGGCTTAACAGATCTACGCTGAAGCTTTGAGGCTAATGGAAGACTCTGGAAGGTGATGTACAAAGCTTAGAGAGAACATAGAGTGAGTGATAAGAGAGGGAGAGCGTGTGATTCTCTCTAATTAAATTGTGTTATATTTTAATTGGTTTAATTTAGACCATGTGAAATTTTTAATTGGTATATTTATTTTGTTTTTGATTTTTTAATACCAGTGGCTCTATTTTAAATTATGATGTAGTATTTGTTTTGTAGTTTCTTTGAGCACAGTGGTTCAAGGAGTCAATACCTTACCATCGGAATTTGGATTCTTTGACCTTCTCTCAAGAGGAGTAATAATAGAAGTGTCATCTGAACAAAATGTGCTTGGCTTGAATAATAATCCTTAGTTTTTAGAGATTTTATATATCTAATTGACACATGTATCTTTATTATGTTTATTAAATACATGTTTCATATTTGGTAGAGAATGAATCTGTAATAGGGGTTAAGAATAAATTTGCAATGCATCCAAAAGTGTATGGTATCTTCCGAGGATCAATTAATACGCTATATTGAGTGTGCTGGAAGATGGTTAGACCATAATAAATTTGCAATGCATCCAAAAGTGTATGATATCTTCCGAGGATCAATTAATACGCTATATTGAGTGTGCTGGAAGATGATGGTTAGACCATAATAAATCAACTACATACTAATGTTGTTTATAAAGAAATTTTTAATAATTTGTAATTTTAAGTCTCCCCACTATTAAAAAAATTATAATATAACTTTTGTATTTTCTCTAATTTGTCTATTTAGTTTTTATATAATATTTAAATTTATAATTCAATCACTTTTTTTGTTATCAAATCAAAATACGTATTTATCATTCTAATCTTCTTTCTTACTATGACTATATAACAAAATACTTATAATATTACTTATAATATTTAGTCCGTGCATCGCACGAGTATCATACTAGTGGTGCAAAATAACATTGATCTTGGCAAGATCAATGACTCTCATCTCACCCCACGTTCGCACTTGAGCACACCATCCTCATTTGAACAGAAATATATATATATATATATATATATATATATATATATATATATATATATATATATATATATATATATATATATATATATATATATATATATATATATATATAGATTTTGAATCCGGTGCACCCCCCTATTCAGGTGAGTAAGTAATACGCACTGTTTTTAACCTGCTGAGGGGTGTTTGGGTAATTTCGTATTGGCATTAATTTGTTACCATTTACACACCATGAATTTTCTTTCTTTCATCATTTTCTATGTATCGAGATTCTCAAATTCTTCCGATTTCCTCTCGTTCTCATTGCCTCCTCCCGTCTTTGTGTCTCTCTGAACAACCAATCTTCGAACCAATTTCTAAAGCCGTTTCCTCGATCGGATTCTTCATAGCTTGGTCTTCCATCCGATGGTCAAAGCGTCGGAAGAGGGAGGTTGCCGATGGTGTTCAAGGTATTCCTAAGTCTTTTTTCTATTCGTATTTTTGTTTCTATCATTTTGTTCGAAGATTAATTCAACAGTGGTCGGTGGCAACTAGGGTTTTCTCATTCAGACAAGGCGGGCGAGGTTTTTGGTTGGAGACAGTTTATTTTTTATAATTGTAAACAGGGTGTTGGTTTGGTAGTGGGGAGAGGGTGTGTGTTTGTTCTGATGGTGGGGGTATGTATGCACCGGCGACAATCGATGGTTATTAGGGATTCAGTAACCCCGGCGACAGGGTAGGGTGTGGCGTGGGTTTTGGGGTCGGCTATTTTTCTGTACATATAGTGTTCATGATTTAGGGTGGGTTTGGCTGGATGTATGTGCGTAGAATTAATCTGGTTGGTGCGTTTGGCTGGCTGTTAGTCTGTATTAACTAGTTTGTGTATTCAGAGGCTTTAGTTTGTGCATATTGCGTATTCAGTCTGGTTTGCACATTGTTGGTGGATTCCTGGTTTGTGCATTGTTGTGTGTAACCCTGTGCATGTTATGCGTTTTGGGAATTGGCATTACGATGTTTGTTTATTTGTTTGTTTGTTTGTTTGTTTTTTTTTTTTGTGTTTAGCTGTGGAATGGTTTTTTTTTTTTTTTTTTTTGGTGTTGGATTTAGTTTGAGGTCATTTTTTGTTTTGTATGTGCGCTGCTGTGTGTTGCGTGTGCGCAATGTTGCTGATTATTTTTGTTTCTTTTGGTGTAGGGGTAGGAAGCTGGATGTTTTTTTATTACTATTTTTGGTGTGTGCCTGCTCAGTTTTTAGTTCATTGGTATGGGCGTAGCAAAGGCGTGTGAGTGTGTATTTGTAGGCTTTAGTTTGTGCTTATTGCGTGTGTCACTCTGTATATTATGAACTGCGTTTTTAGCTTCTTCGGTCTGCTTGTGATTGGTTTAATTCTCTTTGTTTTTGGGTATTATTTTAAGTATGTTTGCATTTTCTAGTGGTTATTATATATTTTAAGTATATTCATTATACCATTTGCAAGTGATGGTGTTCCTGAGCCCGTTGGTGTAGCTGATCCGGTGGCACCTTTGCCACATCCGGAAACAGTAGGAGTGGCCGAAGAACCCAATTGGCGGGCGACTTTGCCACAACCTGAAGCAGTTGAAGTGCCCCAAGCCCCGATCACCCGGCACCGGATGTGGGTGGGGCAATGCATATCTCTGCCTCAGAGTGTGCTTGGTTTTGTAATGTAATGTTTGGTTTTGTAATGTAGTGCAGTGTGTTATTTAAATGTTCAATATTGTACAAATTGCATATCAATGATTCACCGTAGTAGGTATACTTTGATTTATGATCCATTCTTGTGTAATTTAGGATGTGTTACTTCTTTAAATTTTTCATATGCCATAGCTTATTCATAGATTATTATATCGTTTGTGCATATAAAGGGTCTGGTATGTGCATATTGATATGTTTAGTATGTTTTATGTGACTTTATTTTTGTGGTTCTCAATTTTTGACTAGTTTTCATTTTAGTTGTTCTATTGGACTGTGCTTGGGTTATAGGTTAATGCTGTGTGTTTTAAACATGTTTTTCTATTTAATAATACCATGGTGTTTTTAGTTCATTGGTATGTGCGTAGCAAAGGCGTGTGAGTGCACTGAAAGGATTTAGTTAAATCAGACTGGTATTCAATGTTTTGTGCATTGCGAGGCTTAAGTTTGTGCATATTGCGTGTTCAGTATGCTTCTCAATTTTAATTATTCTATCGGAGTGTGCTTGGTTTTGTAATGTAATGCAGTGTGTTATTTAAACATTCAATATTTGTACAAATTGCATATCAATGATTCATCGTAGTAGGTATACTTTGATTTTTGATACATTCTTGTGTAATTTAGGAGGTGTTACTTCTTTAAATTTTTCATATGCCATAGCTTATTCATAGATTATTATATCGTTTGTGCATATAGAGGGTCTGGTATGTGCACATTGATATGTTTAGTCTGTTTCATGTGACTTTATTTTTGTGGTTCTCAATTTTTGATTAGTTTTCATTTTAATTGTTCTATTGGACTGTGCTTGGGTTATAGGTTAATGCAGTGTGTTATAAACATGTTTTTTGTATTAAATAATACCACGGTGTTTTTAGTCATTGGTATGTGCGTAGCAAAGGTGTGTGAGTGCATTGAAAGGATTTAGGTAAATAATACCATGGTGCTTTTAGGGTAATTGGTATGTGCGCAGCTGGCGCGTGTTAGTGTGCATTTCCGGTCTGTGCGTGTGTGTATATAGATTGTGCGTAATACGCTTTCGGTACATAAACAATGCCAATTTTCCCTAAGAGCTATACAGGCGATATGCACAGGCCTATATCCTCATACGCACTTTACACTGTAACTTTCATCAATACAGTGATATTAGTTGTAT